GCATGCATAGTCCGGTCTGTGTTTACAGCTAAGGGATGAAACACAGACTGCACCGAAAAATATCACCACACTACATCTACAAGATAAAGGCTATTTGCACCATAAAATAACACCTTACACATGGTTTGCGTACAATCTTGTTGGTCTATTATTATCTCAAATAAGCTGTGGTTAAATCGTTTTTAGTCTTACCATTGACGTACTGAACATTTGGGAAGAAAGGACGGAGCCAGTGCTTTTCTCCACTGTTGACTGTATTCGATAAGCAGCAGTCGATTATCAGACTTGTAAAACTAAACCTATGATTTTCTTACGCCTCACAAGATTTCCTTCTTTGAAATCGGATTATAACATACCTCAAACTGGAGCGAGATGAAGTAGCAGAGGATGAAGATGAGGCAGTGGCACTGAATTGAAATACCATATTAGAGGCAGTGCAAATGCCATGAATTATCAGATTCTGTGCTAAAAATACTTATTACAAAAACGCATGATTATATCAGTTATCGAATGCTTGTCGAACTATTCGGGATATGCTTGAAAGGGTTTTTTTTTAGTCTTATCAACTATGTTGTGAGCGATCAACAAGCTGACCTCGGCAACGGCTATTACGAAACACTTCTTCGAAAAGTGAATTCCATTGACAGTGCAACTGCTGAAAACGACAGTGCTTTAAAGCAGGTAACATTGCTGGCTCCCAGTTTTTCAGGGATCGTTTGAGAAATGTTTTTTTTTTATTTTCGAAAAAGTCTTTGCGGTTTTTAACACGATTCTAAACAAATTTGAACCGAAACATTTATGCAGCACTTATGCAGCACTGGGGGAAGGTGGGAGGGGGGGGGGCAGAGGGCATGTACTCATTCATATGAAGCATGTACTCATTTCGTACATATGAAGCATGCATTCATTTCAGATAGATCTGGATTTGGCGCGAACATTGCCCACAAATAGGTATTTTGATGAGCCCACATCGGAAAAAATTGTTATTCTTCGTCGCGTACTTTATGCATATCGCTTCCACAATAAATCCGTTGGATACTGCCAGGTGCTTTAGTTTTTCGCTTTAAGTAGTTTTGCCAAATGTGAATCTTGCTGAGAGCTGAGGCCTGTGCTATTTTTGAAGAGCTTACGAAG